CCTATGTTACTATTTTTCCAACCAGTTTTTTTCCGTAAGTAATTGCAAAATGACTTCTTTCTTGTAAATGAAAAATTAATTTCAGCACAGATAAGTGAGGTGGCAACAAGAATAAGGAGGGCACACACTCTCTCTTTTGTCGGTGGGCTATTGTAAGGAGGTAGGTTAGCTGGTTAGTAAACAGCGTGATAGCGACAGTGTGGGTTCAGTTCCTATACCAGCTGAAGTTATCATAAAGGGTTTTCCTTAAACTCTCTCCTCACCTGGGGCATGGTGACCCTCAGGTTAAACCACCATCTGTTGTCTCTCGCTAATGAGAGAGCAGCCCTATTGTCTGATAAGATTATGGTGACTTTACTTTCTGAAAACATGCACAGTGCAGTCAAACCACAGAAGAGATTGCAGGAAAGGTGCAAAATGCAGTTCTAACAACAGGTCATTGAGCTGCTCCTATTTCTCTCTTCACAGATGCTGCCAGACATGCTGATTGATTCCAGAAGTTTCTGTTTTTATATCAGATTTGCAGCATCCACAATATTTTGTTTCACTGTGGGCTAACACACAATTCCAGCACTGAATGCCTTAATTTGCTTTATCATGTGAGATGAACATAATAAATAAAAACTATTTTTGTCTTTTTTTCCTCGTAACATGTGCCCAGCAACATACCTTGGAGAGATGCAACAATATCATTTGTGCATTTGACACAGTTATCAACTAAATTTTATACAAAACATTTCCAATCATTCAAAAGCACAGTCTGCTCCAGTTATTGAAAGATAGATTTTCATTTGTATAGCACCTTTCATGACCTCAGGATGTCCCAAACAATTTTAATGAAGTACTTTTTGAGAAGTGTAGCCATTGTTGTAATGCAGGAAAAGCAACAACCGATTTTCACACAGCAATGTCCCACTGACAGCAAAGTAAAATGACCAGATTTAATGATAGTGATTGGAGGATAAATATTGGTCAGGTTATGGTGAGAGAATTTCTGTTTGTCTTTGAAATAGTCGATCTGTTACATCTACCTGAGGGGGCAGACTGGGTTTTAGACTCAGTTTAACATCTAGCTTGAAAGACAGCACTTTGAACAATGCAGCATTCCCACAGTGCTAGTGGGAATGTTAGCCCAGAATATTGTGTAGTTGGATGAAGTGATGAAGATATCTTGGAAACTTATTTTGGCATATGATCCACCCGCCACAATCAGCCTTACCTTTCCGAGGAAACACAGTGCTACTGATGACATTTTACAAATTTTGTATACCAATAGTGTGTGATCAGCTCCAATAAAATGTTCTACAACTCATTACCAATCAGAACAGTTTCTGAAAAGCCCTGATGCCTGTTATAGAGACCGGTCCAGTTGACAGATGGTAAAGATGTTGCACAAATCTGAACTAATTTTACTTAGTGTACAATACAAACCATCACTGGCCATGTTGGCAGATGGCACCAGGGATATTCAAGGCAGCAGTATCTATAGCAGAGATCCTGACACTGCACTGAAGATAGGTTACAAAACAGTTCTTCATTAGTGCCTTGAAACTTACTGTGTGTTAACACTGTCAAAGTTAAAATGAATTGAGAATTCTTTAGTTGGCCATCTGGAGGGGATAATTTGGCTCCATCCAGATCTTCAATGCTATTTCAATGCCATTTTCTAGAGTGAAGCTGCACATTTTAGGCTTAATGTTGAAAAAGTTGCAAAGTATCTGGTAGGAAATTATTCACAGTGGCATTTTAATCCAACCAAATTCACTTGAAAATACATTGCACAAAGTGTTTTGGTTGTTATTTGGTATTAGCAATTCTCATGAAAATAGCCCACTTTGAGTATGCACATACTGCTGACATCATTCACAGTAATTTCCCTCTGTGGGGCAGTGAGGGGGAGTTGGCCTGGCTTGCCCCTGATACAAAGATCCCTGTTGAAGTTTGCAAGGTCCAGTGGCCAACACTGAGAAAATGACACATTTGGAGGTCTGCAGAAGTACCTACAGTGGAACCTTGCTGGAGATTTCAGCAGCAGTAACAGTCCATGTGAACTGTCAGACAAACAACCTGGATGCCCTTAGAAAGGAGAGACACTGCAGCCCTTCCACGCCTCTTTTGACACTCTTATCTTTCCAGGGTCACAACCCAATGCCTTGGTAGCCTTCACTGCTGCCAAGCTCAGGGAAGGTAAGACTGATTAGACAAAGCATACTTGAGCCAATCACATGGTCGGACCTCAACTCTCAATAGGGAAAACATTGAGCTGATGTCCCCGCTTGTGGGGGAGAACAAAACTAGGGGGCCATAAACATCAGATCGCCATGAATAAATCCTCACTCAGAGGGTGGTGAGAATGTGGGATATTACCACAGGGAATGCCAAGCCGAACAGCATGGATGAATTTAACGAGCAATTGGATAGACATATGAGGAAGAAAGGAATTGTAGGATGTGTTGATGGAGTAAGATGAAGTAGAGTGGGAGGAGGCACATGTTGATTAGTGGCATGGGCCAGTTGGGTCAAATGGCCTGTCTGGTGCCATGCAATTGTCTGTCACTGAGGGATTGGACGTAGTAGCTCCCCACTCGTGTTGCCCCTATCTTTTGGTTCCTGAACCCAGCCATCTTATTAGGGTGAGCAGAGACCTCACATCCTCACCAAGTGATCCCAGAAACACCGATCGGCAGATCCCTATGATCAACTAAGAGGAAACAGCGATACAGTTTCAGGATCGATGTATTTATGTTACATTTACCAGCAATCCTGTTCAGACATTCAATAGATAGAAACACAAAAGGTTTTAAAGAAACATACATGTCACCTCCCAATTCAATTCCACTTCTTCAATCTTATACCCAATTCTCAAAGCATCCAAAAACTTCACAAAGGCAATATATTTTCTATAATTTTAACCTTTTGGGGTTTTTTTATTGGAAGAACTGAAGGGGTAGACACAAAAACTCTCAACAAATAAGTCAGTGACTTTTTTTTAAAATATATAAACAGGAGGAGGCCATTCAGCCCCTTGAACCTATTCTGCCATTCAATTTGATCATGTATAAAATCGAGCTTCATAAGAAGCCAAGTTTCTTTGGAAAGCTCCCTATATATTGCTTTAATCCTGCTATTATTTTAAGATTTTCATCTTGCCTTCATCAGTTGTAAATATCTTCTCATTTAACTACACTCCCCCCATTGAGAAAGTCTTAATTTTGACATTTGATACTTTTTCATTAAGAGACAAAACAAAAAGTTTTCATCGAAAATATAGAGTATTAGTTTCCCAACTTTGGCCCCCAAGTGATTTCAGTATTATTACTTTACTTTAAAATTTATTCCTCAATATTGTTCAGACATGTTACTCAGTTCTCACATACAAGGTAAATACAGAAACGTTTTCAGAAGTGGCCTGAATCTGTGATCATCTGTCTCCTTCAGTTCCAAAAGATGCAGCCTGTTGAAGACGGGACACAGAATATCAAGACCTGAGCCTAAACTTTCCAAATCCTGGGTTTGTACCATAATTATATTCCCACGTGGTCTAGACCGCACGCAACCCCAGGATTGCCCTGATGTGTCCAGGAAATAAAGATGAATTTCCTGGACAAAACCTTGGAAGAATATCACAGGGCCATATAAGACAAAAATAATTCTCCTTTTCTCCAATTTCTGTGGTTGACCACATTTGTTCATTAGTTAAAAAACCATTAGAAACAGACAAGATATTGAGAGTGCAATTATCATCCAATCAGGGAACCAAAAAGACCGTTGCTTCCCAATTGGCTGCGTGTGTGCTCAGGAAGGATGAGTCAGGAGACCAATGATGAAAGGTGAGTAATGGGAGAGGGGTACTACAATTGCTAGAGCTGAAAAGAGAATAGTTTGACAACATTTCCAGGAATCCATCCAATCAGAATTGGCAACTGCACCAGAATCCCAAAAGGCTGTGAGTGCCAGGTTGGGGGCAGACGTGAGAGTGGAGTTGAGGCCACAAACAAATCTTATCAAATGGCAGAACAGATTCAAGGGGCTGAATGGCCTACTTTAGATCCTAATTCCCACTGGTGAGAGACAGTATTCACAAAGACTACTGGGTCTGAAATAATAGATCTGTTCCCACCATTTCCTATCTATGTGCCAAGCAATTGGCGAACAAATGTTCTTCAGAAACACAAGCCTGTCACTTCACATATGTTCAAATATTAATGCTGCATTCTTATCCCATGTGTCCCAACGTATCTGCCTCACAATTCCAAAGACATCTATATCAGCTGTGTCTTAACTTATAGTTGTAGTTTCTTTGTTTGTTTCCCACTACTTCATAAAAAAACTTTAAATACATGTAAAAATGTAAACATCTCAAAGGCATGAAATTAATACACAGCCTTAAATGGGAGGTGTATTTATCTGAATTGAGAAATAATTCTAAATATTAATACAGGTACAGTTTAAGGTGACTCAGTCTTCCCTTTACTGGTGTGTATTGGTTGAATAGTTGAGAAGGATGTACTGGGGGCTGGACAGGACATTAAGCACTGAGCACTGCCAAACAGACAGGAATGGAGAATCCTGCGAGGAACCTCTTAAAGAATCCAGGAAGTTCATTTTAACCAAACCCACCCGACACGAAATTAAATTGGTTTAAAACCTGGGGTCTCACACTGTATGCTTCAAATGTATATCCTACTGAAGTTTCAAAGGAAGAGGGGCTTTGGCATGTTGTATAAACGTATATAATGACCACCAGACATGATGTGGTCAATTTCCCCTTCACCAGGTTAGGTCAAAATGACACGTCAACATTAAATCGTCATAAAAAGTAACAATGGAAAGACAGGGAGGTTTCCCTTCATATTTAAAAGTGTCTAACAATTCTGACATTTAGTTACTGGGGAGCTTGGTGTTAGCTCCCTCTACTGTTTTGTTTAGTTTTAATTCTTCATCCCCTCCCTCCACACGCAGTCAGTGCTAAAGCAGCCCCCACACACCCTCCCCAGGTCTCAGAACCACTCCGCTGAGTCCGAATCCTTCGCAAACAGCTTCTTGCACATGATAGAGTTCTCCTGGTGGAGAGGGAATTCCGACCCAGCCATCAGCATTTCCCTTCCTTTCCGAGAAACATACGATTTTCCTGATGGCAAGCTTTCATATTTGGTCACATATTGCCTGTAAAATTCAATGTGGGTTAACAGCGCCTCAGTATCCACATTTCAGATGATCAAATGCTCAACTCTATAAGATTTTCAAACAGGCCAATACATCCTGGAAGGTTATGACGTGCATTAGTTATTACAGCACAGAAGTTAGCCAGGTAGGAGCACAATACTGCAGGTGCTGAAATCTGTACTGAAAACAAAAAAATGCTGGAGATCACAGCGGGTCAGGCAGCATGCATGGACAGAGAGTAAGCTAATGCTTCAAGTCTGGGTAACTTTTCATCAGAAGTGATGGTCAGCTCTGAAGAAGAGTCATCTAGACTCAAAACGTTTGCTTGCCCTCTCCCAATAGAAGTTAGCCATTTGGCCCATTATGTCTGTGCCATCTCTTTCTGTGAGCAATCCATTTAGCCCCTGTTCTTTTCCCATATTCCTGAAACTTTTCTCCCTCACATATTCATTCATTACTCTTTTGAAAGACACAATTAAATCTGTTTACACCACCCTATCAGGCAATGCTTTATTCATTATTCATTCACAGGATGAGGGAGTTGCTGGCTAGGCCAGTATTTATTGCCCATTCCTAATTGCCCAGATGGCAGTTAAGAGTCAACCACATTGCTGTGGGTCTGGAGTCACAAGTAGGCCAGACCAGGTAAGGATGGCAGTTTCCTTCCTTAAAGGACATTAGTGAATGAAATGGGTTTTCCCAACAATTGACAATGGATTCATGGTCATCATTAGTTCCTTAATTCCAGATATTTTATTGAATTCAAATTCCACCATCTGCCGTTGTGGGATTTGAACCCAGGTCCCCAGAACATTATCTGGGTCTCTGGATTAACAGTCCAGCGATAATACCACTAGGCCATCACTTCCCCCTCATTGAAGTTGAAATTCTAACCAATCCCTTTGTAAAATGATTGTATTAATTTTTCTTTACTCCACATGTTCCTAATTGCCTCAAATATATTTAGGTTTCCTGCCTTCCTTGCTTGAAGGAACTGGTGAATGCAGGGATACCCACCCACACACAGCAGCTGCCTCCTGGTACTTCATCCAACTGGCTGTTACAGACATGTTATAAATAGACAGCTAGATTACCAGAGCTAAGGAATTATGCTTAGTCTTTACAAGACAGCCAGAGCATTAGGCCCATCCATGTGGAACCCATTTTAGGAAGAAGGTGAAGGTTATTGTGAGGGTACAGAAGAGATTTACAAGATCACTTCCAGGGATAAGGGCATCGATGAAGAGCCTGGAATTGAGGAGGAGACAGGGAATGTAATAGTGTTTGAAGACATGATAAACTATTTCCAATGGCTGAAGGGTTGAAAGGACTCGGATTTAAAGTGTTAGAAAAGAATCAGAAGCGACTAGAAAAAAAGCAGTCTTTTATGCGAGTGGTTAGTATTTCGAAAACATTGGCTGCTGGGTAGAAATTCAATAGGAGCTTTCAAAGACCCTTCAAACATTTGAAGGGAGAAGAATTTGCAGGAGAAATGGTGTGTACATGAAATGGGACCAACTGGGTTTGACCTAGAAAGACCTGGCTTGGAAACAACAGGCCAAATCTTCCAAACAGGACTTCTACCTAGAAGGACAAAAGCAGCAATGGGTTGCTTTGTCCAAGATGGTGTCAAGTTTCTTGAATGTTACTGGAGCTACACTCATCAGGCAAGTGGGGAGTATCCCATCACACTCCAGACCTGTGCTTTGCAGATGGTGGACAGGTTTTGAGGAGTCAGGAGGTGAGTTACGCCCTGCAGTATTCCTATCCTTTGACCTCCTCTTGTAGCCACTGCATTTATACAGCTAGTCCAATTCAGTTTCTGGCCAATGGGCAGCCCCTGGAATGTTTATAGTGGGGGATTCGGTGATAGAGATGCTATTGAATGCTAAGAGGCGGTGGTTAGATTGCCTCTTATTGGAGATGGTCATTGCCTGGCATTTGTGTGGCGCAAATGTTAATTGTCACTTGTCAGCCCAAACCTGGATATTGTTGATCTTGTTGTATGTGAACATGTACTGCTTCAGTGCCTGAGGAGTCGTGAATGGTGCTGAACATCGTGCAATCATTGGCGAACATCCCCAGTTTTGATCTTATGATGGAGGGAAGGTCATTGATGAAGCAGCTGAAGATGGTTGGGTCAAGGACACTACCCTGAGGAACTCCTGCAGAGATGTCCTGGAGCTGAGGTGACTGACCTCCCACAACCACGACGATCTTCCTATGTGTCGGGTGTGACTCCAACCACCAGAGAGTTTTACCCTGATTCCCATTGACTCCATTGATCCATTGACTCAACTTTGTTAAAGCTCCTTATGTCCCACCCAGCCAAATGTGGCCCTGATGTCAAGGGCTGTTACTCTCACCTCACCTCTGGAATTCAGCTCTTGTGTCCACGTTTGAACCAAGGCTGTAATGAGGTCAGGAGCTGAGTGGCCCTGGCGGAACCCAAACTGGGCGTCACTGAGCAGGTTATTGCTGAGCAGGTGCTGCTTGATAGCACTGTTGATGACACTTTCTGCCACTTTATTGATGATCGAGATGGGGTGGTAATTGGCCGGGTTGGATTTGTCCTGCTTTTTATGTACAGGACATACCTGGGCAACTTTCCACCTTGTTGGGTAGATACCAGTGTTGTAACTGTACTGGAACAGCTTGGTTAAGAGTCCAGCAATTTCTGGAGCACAAGTCTTTAGTACTATTGCCAGAATGTTGTCAGGGCCTGTAGCCTTTGCAGTATCCACTGCCTCCAACTATTTCTTGATATCACGTGGAGTGAATCAAATTGGCTGAAGACTGGTATCTGTCAAGCTGGGGACCACTGGAGGAGGCCGAGATGGATCATCCACTTGGCACTTCTAGCTGAAGATTGCTGCAAATGAATCTTTTGCACTGATGTGCTGGGCCCTTCCATCATTGAGGATGGGGATATTTGTGGAGCCTCCTTCTCTAGTGAGTTGTTTAATCATCCACCATCATTCACAACTGGATGTAGCAGGAATGCAGAGCTTAGATCTGATCCGTTGGTTGTGGGATCGCTCCTTATGTTGTTTGGCATTGTAAGAAGTCTGGTAGCTTCACCAGGCTGACACTTAATTTTTTTAGATACTGGTCCTAAAATACCCTCCTGCACTCTTCATTGAATCAGAACCATTCCCTGTGGGAGTGAGTTCCACATTCTACACAGTCTGAGTAAAGAGGCTTCTTCGGAATACAACCAATGGGACTATGTGATATATGAAGGCCCTACATTTATACTGACCTGACCAGTTGAAACATATTCTCTCGGTCTATGCAAACAAAACCTTCCACACTAATGAAGACACTTGAGCATGCCACCTCCCTCCCAGCCCCATGAGAATTGATGTATGTCTTACCGGAATGGAAACCCGTCTTTGACCATCTGCATACAGACCAGGAATGGGTATTCAGAGAACTTCACAGTCGAGATGAAATCGAGTACTGCCTCAGTTTCCACACTCACCTCGACGCCACTCTTAATGAACAAAGAATCCACCGTGATGTTACCAACAACAACCACTGCACCCCTGGAAGAAAAGAAACATAAGCTGTTTGAGGCATTGTCCCATCTGTGAACACTGAATCCAAATCCTGGATTTTCAGAAATCTGATAGCCAAATCATTTCCAGATCCCAACCTCAAGACACTGGTTTGACACGCAAAGGACCTATACTGGCAAGCCCCACTCCTAATTGGTGAAGCCAGGAGTTGCCTGAGGAACTGGCTGGGGAGTGCAACAGAAGACAAGGTGGCAGTCATCAGCAGTTAGTTGTTGCCTTGTGGGATGGATCAGGCAGGAGAACTGAGGGCTAGCAGCTGCATGGTCTGAATGAGTAGCTGAGTGGTCAGTCAAGAGGTACCTGACCTGTATTCAATCAAAGCCAGCTTTGTGCCACCACTTCAGTATCTCTCAGGTTGAAGAAGACATCGCCCCAACACTTTAATTGAACAACAATATCACAATCTGGCTCCCCACAGCCATGCACTAATGTGTTCCAGACTGTAATGTAATGGCTATGTTACCAGATGGTAATCCAGAAATCTGGACTAGTAATCCAGAGACATGATTTCAAATCACTCCATTGCAGCTGGGGGAGCACAAATTTAATTAACACAAACCTAGAATAAAATGTAAGATCACAGTAAAGGGTAAACTGAAACAAAAACAGAAATTGCTGGAGAAGCTCAGCAGGTCTGACAGTAAGATATGCTACCAGATCTGCTGAGTTTCTCCAGCAATTCCTGTTTTTATTTCAGATCTCAGCCATCATCTGTTCTTCGATTATATTATTAAAGGGTAGTCTACCGGATTGTTGCAAAATCTGTTTCGCTAATGTCCTCTAGGGAAGGAAATCTGCCATCCTTACTTAGTCTGGCCTACATGTGACTCCAGATCAACAACAGTTAACTGCTCTCTGAAATGGCTGAGCAAGGTATTCAGTTTTACTCAAGAAGGTAGCTGGTCTCTACCTCCTCCAGGGCAATTAGGGATGGGCAATGAATGCTGGCCCTGACTGCGATGCTTATATCCTATAAATGAATTCAAGGCAAGAGGATGGAATTCAGATACACATCAACCATGATCGCAGTGAATGGTGGCATAGACTCAATAAGGTCGATTAGCCTCCTCCTTCCTGTCCTAACGTTGTGACAGTAAGCACAGCTGGATGAAAGGCATACAAACTACAGAATGCAAGTTACAGTGAAGACTGGTACCTGTTGGTGACAGTGGTTTTAGATTCCTGGTACCACAGGCTGAAATCCATCCCACCAGAGATATCAATGGCCAATCCTCCTTGGAATTCCACTGTTGCTTTCAGTCCAGACTGCAGCTGGAAGTTCTGAAGTCAGAAAAAAAGCAAGGCTTTCAATTTCCAAAGGACTGTTTGCTGAGACATTGGATTCCCAGTTTATTTAATCCTTCTGATTTGCCAAAGGGCAGACTTTCCTAACACAAGTTACGCGGAATTTGCAATATATTTGACCAATATGTCAGTACTTGCATTCCTCACGACCCTCCTCCCACCCCATTCCATTTCAGCCTATCTGCACCTCGCTTTTTCCCCTTTCCCTGTCATCTGTTTATCCAGCCACCTCTTAAATGTATCTATACCATTCACCCAACAAAGCTCTGAGGGAGTAAGCCCCACATTCTCACTCCTCTCTGGAGTAAAAGATTACCCTCTGTCTTCTCGTTATTGGGGAAGAGAGGCCTAGCCTGATTAATACTAATAGCAATGTCCTCTCAGCTGAAATCTTCTTTACACTTTCTCTAGAGTCTCTGGTCTCATGGCATAGTTACATTTAAATGTAAATGCATAAGGAAGAAAAGAAGTAGAAGGACAGGATTATAATAAGTAGAATGGGAGAAAGGGTACAGCATAAACAATGGCAAACATCAGTCAGGCTGAGTAATCTGTTTTTGTATTGCATGTTCCATGTAATACTTGATTCTAAGCTTAATCAACACACCATCTACCACCTTCAACATTCAATCCCTCCAGCTTTGATGCACGGTGGTAGCAGTATGTATCATCTACAGGATTTATTGCAACAACTCACCAAAACTCCTTCAACAGCACCTTCCAAACCCATGATCTTTACCATCTAGAAGGACAAGGGCAGCAGATACATGGGAACTGCAAGTTCCCCTCTAAGCCATTCACCATCCTGACTTGGAAATATATTGCTGTACCTTCACTGTCACTGGGTCAAAATCCTGGAAGTCCCTTCCTAACGGCACTATAGGAGTACTTACACAAGGTGCAGTGGTTCAAGAAGGTAGCTCATTGCCACATTCTCAAAGGAAAGTAGGAATGGGCAATAAATTCTGGCTATACCAGCAACATCCACATCCAATTGCTGTGATCTCAACTGATGGTAATACTGAACAAGGTAGATCCCAGAATGAAACGTGGCTTGATAGGTCATATGTTTAATTATTGCAATTGGTTGCCATGGTCTGCCTAACACAGCAATATAAACATTTCATCAATTAACAGAACAGGAATCTGGCCAGGCAATTAAGTGAAATCATGTGTCTTCTTGGAAATAAGATACTTTAATCACTGTTCCAAATTACTTTCTGACCTTTAAAAGAAAGTCCTTCACAAAAATGACCAAAATCTATCTTCGTCTATTTTAAATTCCAAATCCCAAATGATAATAACAAATGTACCTTTATTACACTATTAATGTTTTTGTAAATCTGCAAGGATTAACAATGGAATCTAAGTCAAAATTCTTCACTTAGGCATTGTCAATTAAAAAGAACATTCTAATTAAGGTCAATGACCAACACACAAACAAAAGCTCTACAGTGTTATCCTAATGGTTATTTAAAAACCCAGAAATGAAGGTTGATGGAGATGTGCAGATACCTGGACATGATCAACAAGCAGAATAAGGCCTTTGACCACATTCATTGGCTCTCCAGTTGCTGTGAACATCTTAGCCATTAAGTCGCTGTAACCTCGGAAGAAGGTGACTGGCTTAAGCTGGACATCAAACAGTACCGCAGACATTCCAGCCAGTGACTCAAGGTCGCCCTCACCTTCATCGGCCTTTGCAGCTATAAGAGACTCTAAACCCTGGGCTTCAATCACAACCTGCGGGAAAACAAAATATGTCATGAGACCTCAAGCAGCCCTCCCGCAGAGACACCAGCAACCTGCTTTTATCCAGGCTGACACTCCCAGGGCAGTACTGAAGCACTGACAGAGGTATAGCCCAGTAAGTGAGCTAAAACCTCATAGATGCACATGAAAGATCCCATGACTTTATTTCAAAGAAGATCAGGTTGATGACAGCCAGTAAGGTTATGATCATCATAAACAACAGAACAGGCTGGTGTTCCTTATTTATATAAAGCAAAGTCTCAGAGGTAACATTTTTATTTCACTCTTGAGGTGTGGGTATCACGGGCTAGCCCAGCATTTATTGCCCAGAGAGGAGTTAAGAGTTAACACCATTGCTGTGGGTCTGGAATCATACGAAGTCCTAGACCAGATAAAGAGAGCAGGTTTCCTTCCCTAAAGAGCATTACTGAACCAGATGGAGTTTTCTGACAATCAACAGTGGTCCCATGGTCATCATTACGACTTTGTTGTTAAAATTCCAAATTTTATTTTTAATTGAGTTCAAATTTTAATTTCTGCCATGGTGGGATTTGAACCTATGTCTGCAGAATATTAACCTGGGGTCTGGATTACCAGCCTGGTGACATCACCATTATATCACTGTCTCTTTCAAAGAGATCTGGGATGGAGAACTGTAAAATGATGAAGAGGTTCAAAAGGAGCAATGTAGAAAAGATGTTTCCAATTGTGGTGAGATTAAAAACATTGGGTCATACTACAAGATGGCCAATAATAAATCCAGCCAAGAAGTCAGGAAAAACCCCTTTATCCAGACAGCAGCAAGAACTCACTCGTATATTGATCTGGTTGTGCTGCTGCAGGATATTTAGAGTCTACTCGCATAATTAACACATTATTTCTGACTACAAGTCTTGCTCTTGAAGCTCTTTGAACCTTGATTTTAAAAAGGGCACATTTTGAAAAAGTTAAAATCTGGTCTGTTAACTCTGATTTTCACCCTACTGACTCTGCTTGACCCGCTGAAAATTTCCAGTATTTTCTGTTTTTATGCCAGGAACAGCTATTTAAACGAGGCAGAACATTATTGGACAAAACATTGCTTGTTCCAGTGAGCAAATGATTCAACCAGTGAAGGTCTTTGTTGTAAAAGAACGATGACTTTGAGTTATTACATACCTGGGTAGCTTGCAGCTCTGTCTCCTGGCTGAAGATAAAAATGTTCATGTTGCTTTTCCTAAGGATGCCAGATCCCGAGTACAGGATGTCCAGACTGTAGGTAGATGATGAATCAGTCCCCTCTGAAAAACAGGAGGATTTCCTCGGTAACTCACCAAGCACAGTGGAGACATGACCCACTCAGCAGGAAGCATCTAACACCAGGATTTCTTCTGCCTTTCTGCACACACACCACTTCCCCTCCCCACCCACCACCCCAACACACTCCCCCGACAACCACTATCCCATACGCACAAACACTCAAACACATGGATCCAATAGGAAACACTGGCTTGAACATAGGAACAAGTTTGGTGGATTAGCCATGCTAAATTGCCCATAGCATCTAGGGATGTGCAGGCTGGGTGGATTAGCCATGGCAAATGCAGGTCTGTAGGGTAAGGAGGTGGGTCTGGGTGGGATGCTCTTCAGAGGGTCGGTGGGGGCTTGATGGACCAAATGGCCTGCTTCCCACTGTTGGGATTCTAACTCCATACTAACTTGAACAGAAGTAGCCATTCAGCCTATTGAGCCTGTCCTGCCATCCAATACAATCATGGCTGAATGAATGCTTCAATGCCTTTTACTCACACCATCTCCATAACCCTGTACACCACTAGTAATCAGAAAGCTATGAATTTCTATCTGAAAAAGGCTCAAAGACTGATCCTCCACGTCCCTCTGTTGGACAGAATTCCAAAGGTCTACAAGCCTCAAGATTTTTTCCTCATTTCGGACCTAAATCAACCCCTATTTTAAATTGTATCCCCTTGTTCTAGACTATTCAACCGGGAGAAACATCTTACCTGCATCCACCCTGTCTATCCCTTTCAGTATTTTCTGGGTTTCAATGAGATCACCTCACATTCTTTGAAACTGTAGAGAATATAGACCCCAGTTCACCCAATCTCTCTCCATAGGACAGTCCCATCATCCCAGGAACTAGTCTGGTAAACCTTTGTTGCACTCCTTGTATGGCTATAATACCTCCCTTGAGATAAGGAGGATAAAACTGCACACAAGTTTTGTTTTCTAACATTCCTGGCAATGTTGTATTATTTTAAAAGGTGCTATACGAATGTTGCTGTTATTGTCGTACGTTTCATGTATCCTGAGTAGGCTGATGAGGAGCCAATCTTGGAGAAACGGTCATAGTTGTGGACAACAGTATCCTTTAGAACCTTCCGTATCATTTCACTGAGGGATAAAATAGATATGGTTAGGAACATAGCACAGCGATCAATCAGGCTTATTATTGAGTAGGCAGTGGAAGTCTGTATTAATGTGTTTCAATATACAGCAAATTTACTTATGGATCATAAGACAATGAGATATAAAAGCTGAATTAGGCTATTCAGCCCGTTGAGTCTGGTCTACCATGGTTGATCTGATAATCCTCAATTCCACTTTCCTGCCTTTTTCCATAACCCCTGATTCCCTTACTGATTAAAAATCTATCTCAGTCTTGACTGTACTTAATGACACAACCTCTACACCCCTTGGTAGTAAAGAATTCCATAGATTCACTACCCTCTGAGAGAAGAAATTCCTCCATAATCTCTGCCTTAAATACCCGCTGTTCTGAGATTATGCCTTCTGGTCCTGGACTCACCCACAGGAGAAATAACCTTTCCATATCAACCCTGTCAAAGTCCCTTAAGAATCTTGTATGTTTCAATAAGGGCACCCTGGGGTGTTAGTTTCTCATGGATGTCAAAATGGGCAAATCGTTACTTAAATTTTCATTTTGTTAGGTAAAAATATTGCTGAGAAAGAAGCATTTTGTTAAAGATTTTCATCCTGCGCACATCAAACAATTCGCAAGAGTCACCAGCATCAGGGAGAAGCATTTATTGCTCATCCCTTGCTGCCCTTGAGAAGGTGGGGGTGAGCCGCCTTCTTGAATCACTGCAGTCCAATGCTCTTAGGGAAGGAATTCCAGGATTTTGATTGAGCGACCCTGAAGGAACAGTGATATATAATGGCAATTTGCCCACTGAGATATCCCTCACAGTGCCAGGGACTCAAGTTTGATCGTACCCTCGGGCGACTGTCTGTGTGGAGTTTGCACATTCTCCCCATGTCTGTGTGGTTACCTCTGGGTGCTCCGGTTTCCTCCCACAGTCCAAAAATGTGCAGACGAGGGTGGATTGCCATGCTACATTGCTCCAAAGTGTCCAGGGATGTGCAGGCTAGGTAGATTAGCATGGGAAATGCAGGGATTGTGAGGAGTTGGTGGGATGGTCTTCGGAAGTTTGGTATGGACTCAATGGGCCAAATGGCCTGCTTCCACACTGTAATGATATTTCCAAGCCAGGCTGGTGAGGAATTTGCAGGGACTGGTGTTCCCATGTACCTGCTGCCTTATCTTTCTATATGGAAATGGTCTAGGGTTTGAAAGGTGCTATCTAAGGAGCCTTGGTGAATTTCTGCAGTGCATCTTGTAGATGTTACACATTGCTGTTACTGAATAGCAATTCTAGTAACAGAAAGATAGAAAACAGGAGGAGTCCATTTGGCCCATCTTGACATACCAGCTCTTTGAAAGTTTTGTCTAATTCCCCTGCTCTTTTCCTGTAAACCTGCATTTTCATTCCATTTTAAGCGGTAATCCAGCTAACTCTTTTGGAAGTTGAACGTGTTTTCAGGTGGCACGTTCTAAATCACAACAACTTACTGCATCTAACATTGCTACTCATCTACCCTCAGAATTATAGTGACAATTCCCTTACATCTGCTTTACATTAGAACACAATGTACAAATGACAGGAAAGGTCCCAATTACCTGCCAGGAAGTTTAAACCGTAGAATATCCTGAATCTTTGAGAGCAGGTATTTGCTCATTTCAGCTGGTAGCTCACCAATGGAGAGCAGAATGTTTTTAACATCCATGTACGATGGGTTGTTGTTAAAGATAATGTCAGCAGCAGATGTCCGCACCGTCTTCTCATGGATCCTTTGGTTCTGATGGTAGATCCTGTTCATTGTCTTTTTTACCTGAACAGACACAAACCAGAGGCATTGAGTTCCAGACACTCTGTCCAAAGCACCTGCCCAAGGTTAATCAGAGAGGCAACATGACAAGCTACCGACTGGGGAATAGAGACACAGGGCCAACTTCACTCTAGATACTTTCTAATTAACCTGTCCAGAGATGTTATTACACAGCTCTGGAGCAGGTAGGACTTAAACACAGACCTCCTGGTTCAGAGGTAGGGACACTGTCCCTGTGCCGCATGATCATGGGAGCAATATCTGGTGAACTGGTCACAAATTTATCATTCAACCAACATCTTTAAAAAGAACTTTCTGGCACAAAAGCAAAATACTAGAGATGCTGGAAATCTGTAATAAAGACATAAAGTGGGTCTGGTAGCATCTGTGGTGAGAGAAGGAGAGTTAATGTTCAGGTCTGTGGTCTTTCATCAGAACTGAAAATGACAGAGACAGAACAGGTTTTACGTAAGTATGGGGACAGAGAATGGATGGGAAGGAAAAAAGAACAAAAGGGATGGACTGTAATAGGATAGAAGGCAGGAGATTGGCAAAAGGGATGACAGTTCAAGACAAAAGAAGATGATGATGGGACCAGTAAAATGCAAAACATGGTTCTAAAGGAGGTGTGAATGACATCACTGCAAACAGAGATAGTAAGAACTGCAGATGATGGAGTCAGAGATAACACAGTGTGGAGCTGGAGGATCACTGTGTCATCACTGCAAACAGCACCTGTCTCAAGGGAACATTGTTAGGGTCTGAAATGGTTGAACTCCATGTTGAATCTGGAAGGCTGGGAAGCTGAGGAGCTGTTTGGAATCATAAAATCCCTACAGTGTGGAAGCAGGCCATTCAGCCCAACAAGTTCACATAGATAATGAAGTCAGTGTGAATAAGGGGAAGAGGAGGCAGAGAGCAGATGATGAACGCAAAGGGACAGGTGGTCTGGGGTGCATTTGTTTTAATGCGAGAAGTGTAGTAGGTAAGGCAGATGAACTTAGGGCTTGGATTAGTACCTGGGATTATGATGTTATTGCTATTACTGAGACTTGGTTGAGGGAAGGGCAAGATTAGCAACTAAATATCCCAGGTTACAGATGCTTCAGGCGGGATAGAGAGGGAGGTAAAAGGGGTGGAGGAGTTGCATTACTGGCCAAAGAGGATATCACAGCTGTGCTGAAGGAGGGCACTATGGAGGACTCGAGCAGTGAGGCAATATGGGCAGAGCTCAGAAATAGGAAGGGTGCGGTAACAATATTGGAGCTGTGCTACAGGCCTCCCAACAGCGAGTGTGAGATAGAGGCACAAATATGTAGACAGATTATGGAAAGATGTAGGAGCAGCAGGGTGGTGGTGATGGGAGATTTTAATTTTCCCAACATTGAACTGGGATTCACTTAGTGTTAGGCGTTTAGATGGAGCAGAATTTGTAAGGAGCATCCAGGAGAGTTTTCTAGAGCAGTACGTAAATAGTCCAACTCGGGAAGGGGCCATACTGGACCTGATGTTGGGGAATGAGCCCGGCCAGGTGGTTGAAGTTTCAGTAGGGGATTACTTTGGGAATAGTGATCACAATTCTGTAAGTTTTAGAAGGAAGAGTGCTGAATTGGGGGAAGGCCAACTATAGCAAAATTTGGTAGGAGCTGGGGAATGTGGATTGGGAACAGCTGTTTGAGGGTAAATCCACATTTGATACGTGGGAGGCTTTTAAAGAGAGGTTGATTAGAGTGCAGGACAGACATGTCCCTGTGAAAATGAGGGATAGAAAGGGCAAGATGAGGGAACCATGGATGACAGGTGAAGTTGTGAGACTGGCAAAGAGGAAAAAGGAAGCATACACAAGGTCTAGGTGACTGAAAACAGATAAAGCTTTGGAAGAATATCGGGAAAGTAGGACCAATTTGAAATGAGGAATTAAGAGGGCTAAAAGGGGTCATGAAATATTTTTTAGCAAACAGGGTTAAGGAAAATCCCAAAGCCTTTTATTCATACATAAGGAGCAAGAGGGTAACTAGAGAAAGGGTTGGCCCACTCAAGGACAAAGGAGCGAAGTTATGCGAGGAGTCAGGGAAAATGAGTTAGATTCTTAATTAGTATTTTGCGACGGTATTCACTGAGGAGAGGGACATGATGAATGTTGAGGTTAGGGATAGATGTTTGATTACTCTAGGTCAAGTCGGCATAAGGAGGGGGGAAGTCTTGGGTATTCTAAAAGGCATTAGGGTGGACAAGTCCCCAGGTCCAGATGGGATCTATCCCAGGTTACTGAGGGAAGCGAGAGAGGAAATAGCTGGGGCCTTAACAGACATCTTTGCAGCATCCTTGAGCATGGGTGAGGTCCCGGAGGACTGGAGAGTTGCTAATGTTGTCCCCTTGTTTAAGAAGGGTAGCAAGGATTATCCAGGTAATTATAGACCGGTGAGCCTGACGTCAGTGGTGGGGAAGCTGCTGGAGAAGATACTGAGGGATAGGATATATTTACATTTGGAAGAAAATGGGCTTATTCGTGATAGACAGTATGGTTTTGTGCAGGCAAGGTCATGTCTTACCAACTTGATAGAATTCTTTGAGGAAGTGACAAAGTTGATAGATGAGGGAAGGGCTATAGATGTCATATACATGGACTTCAGCAAGGCGTTTGATAAGGTTCCCCATGGTAGGCTGATGGAGAAAGTGAAGTCGCATGGGGTCTAGGGTGTACTAGCTAGATGGATAGAGAACTGGCTGGGCAACAGGAGACAGAGAGTTGAAGTGGAAGGGAGTTTCTCAAAATGGAGAACTGTGACCAGTGGTGTTCCACAGGGATCTGTGTTGGGACCACTGTTGTTTGTGATATACATAAATGATCTAGAGGAAGGTATAGATGGTCTGATTAGCAGGTTTGCAGATGACACTAAGATTGGTGGAGTAGCAGATAGTGAAGGGGACTGTTGGAGAATGCAGCAGAATATAGATAGATTGGAGAGTTGGGCGGAGAAATGGCAGATGGAGTTCAATCCAGGCAAATGCGAGGTGATGCATTTTGGAAGATCCAATTCAAGAGCGAACTATATGGTAACTGGAAAAGCCCTGGGGAAAATTGATGCACAGAGAGATCTGGGTGCTCAGGTCCACTGTACCCTGAAGGTGGCAACGCAGGTCGATAGAGTGATCAAGAAGGCATACGGCATGCTTTCATTCATCGGACGGGGCATTGAGTACAAGAGTTGGCAGGTCATGTTACAGTTGTATAGGATTTTGGTTCGACCACATTTGGAATACTGTGTACAGTTCTGGTCGCCACATTACCAAAAGGATGTGGATGCTTTGGAGAGGGTGCAGAGGAGGTTCACCAGGATGTTGCCTGGTACGGAGGGCGCTAGCTATGAAGAGAGGTTGAGTAGATTAGGATTATTTACATTAGAAAGACAGAGGTTGAGGGGGGACCTGATTGAGGTCTACAAAATCATGAGAGATATAGACAGGGTGGATAGCAAGAAGCTTTTTCCCAGAGTGGGGGATTCAATTACTAGGGGTCACGATTTCAAGGTGAGAGGGGAAAAGTTTAAGGGAGATATGCATGGAAAGTTCTTTATGCAGAGGGTGGTGGGTGCCTGGAACACATTGCCAGCGGAGGTGGTAGAGGCGGGCACGATACGTCATTTAAGATGGATCTAGACAGATACATGAGTGGGCAGGGAGCAGAGGGATACATATCCTTGGAAAATAAGCAACAGGTTTAGATAGAGGATCTGGACCGGCGCAGGCTTAGAGGGCCGAAGGGCCTGTTCCTGTGCTGTAATTTTCTTTGTTCTTTGTTCTTTGACTCTCTGAAGAGCATGCCACCCAGACCCACCCCCCTACCCTAACCCTGTAACCCTGCATTTCCCATGGCTAATCCACCTAACCTACACATCCCTGGACACTATGGGTAATTTAGCATGGCAAACCCACCTAACCTGCACATCTTTGGGCTGTGGGAAGAAACCGGAGCACCCGGAGGAAACCCACGCAGACACAGGGAGAATGCGCAAACTCCACATAGTCAGTCATCCGAGGCTGGAATTGAACGCGGGTCCCTCGCGCTGTGAGGCAGCAGTGCTAACCATTTCTCAATTTTCTGTGAGTTTTATTGGAACAGAGCAGGAGGCCAAGGTCAGAGAGACCAGAGTGGAAAATGGATGGAAGGATGTGCAGCTCGTGCTCAAGGATAAGCTGGCAGACTGAACCATGCTAACTCCTGACCTGTACAGGAGGCCAGGTCATGAGCAGTGACTATGAAACTGAAAGAAGTATTGGTAAATCAGCATTTCAAAGTGTTTGGGAGGGGCTTTGGATGTCACCACTGAAGCTATTATCCCTTTTCACCTTCCACCTGCATCCATGGGGAGATGGTGCTGTGGTAGTAATGTCACTAGATTGCAATCCAGACCCTGGGCTGATGGTCGGGCGATGTGGCTTCAAATCCCACTATGGCAGAGAGTGAAATTTGAAATCTGGAATGAAGAAGCCTAATAAGCACATATAGCCATTGTTTTAAAAAGTCCGCTGGTTCACTAATGGGCTCCAAAGAAGAAAAAACTGCCTTCCTTACCCAGTCTGGCCTACCTGTGGCTCCAGACACAATGCAATGTGGTTGACTCTTAACTGTACCAAGGGGCAATTAGGGATGGGCAATAAATGCTGGCCCAACCAGTGATGCCAATGAGTGAATAATAAAAACAGACTCTGAAAGTAGTGTTTTCTGAAGAAGGGTCTAGGCCCGAAACGTCAGCCTTTCTGCTCCTCTGATGCTGCTTGGCCTGCTGTGTTCATCCAGCTCTACACCTTGTTATCTCTCTTCCCTCTTCAGTGTCCTGTTTCAGTCTTCAAGCCCTGACATCTCCTTCCCTTCCCTCCTTACCTTCCTGTGTAAACACAGAAAAGGCAACACCTTCCCTTTTACATTCTCCCCTCTTATGTTCTGGGGACTCCCTTCCACCCACTTGGAGATCTTTCCTTCTGTTCCTTACTTCTCTCCCTGCCTTTCCATGCGTCCGGCCTCACCTAAAACCTCTTAAATTGCTAATATTTACCTATTCTGATGAAAAACCATTGACTTGAAACAGTAGATAACAAAGTATAGAGCTGGATGAACACAGCAGGCCAAGCAGCATCATAGGAGCAGGAAGGCTGCCCTGAAATATTAACTCTGTTTCTCTCTTCACAGATGTTGCCAGACCTGCTGAGTATTTCCAACGTTTTCCCTTCTTATTGCAAATAATCTCGCCACCATTACAATGCTGTATGTGGAAACTTCCACATTTCTGCAATTTTCTAATTTGCAATGTTTCCCTATCAACTTGCTGAGACAGATGGTGTTGACCTGCTGTTCTTTTACAACAAGTATAATGAGCAGTTTGTGCCCAAGAAGGTTTGGATACAGGTTTGTTAATAGCAACCTTGGGCTATACTGAAATCACATTCGCATAAAAGCTTTTATAAAGCAATTTTTAGTGGTAAGGGGACTGGGTGGGAGAGTGGGACCAGTTGGGTAGCACTTTACGGAACAGGTGCAATGGGTTGAACGGTCTCCTTCTGGATGGTGTGATTCGATGATGTTAACGATATAAAATTTCACCTCCTTTGTGATGTATGCTCGTTCATATTTCTGGATAGTTGATACAGCAATATTGCTGATGGGTCCAGTTCCAAACTCTGCGTGCTTCAGTAAAATAGGAATAGCATCAGGGAGAAGAGAATTCTTCAAAGATAAGATGTACATCTCAATTTCAGATTCCTTTTTTGCTGATTCTGCACCATCAAGGATCATTTTTTTCGCTTTGATCACAGTCTGAAAGAGAGAAGAATAATATCAGGCTGAGGAATGTTAAAAACAATGTGTAAGTTACTGATGCTTCTTGTGCCATTTCTCCACCAGTGGCAGTCATGCCTTCAGCTGCCTGGGTCCCAAACTCTGGAATCCCCTCCCTGAACCACTCTGCCTTTCTACCCCATTCCCCGCGTTTAAGACACTATTTAAATTTCCTTTAAACCTTTGTTCCTTGTACTGTTATCTCCTTATGGGGCATGGTGTCATGTCGTACCTGCTAACGCTCCTATGAAACACTATTTAAATGTTAAGTTGTTGTTGATACAGTAGGTAGGGTAAACCATTTAGGAAGTGGTTACCTCAGTTGTCTGGATCACTAGTGACACCAACAGTGTGGGTTCAATTCCCACAGCAGCTGAGGTTACCATGAAGGACTCTTCTCAATCTCTCCCCTTGCCTGAGGAGTGGTGACCCTCAGGTTAAACCACCAACAGTCATCTCTCTCTCTCTCTCTTTAATGAGAGAGTGGCCGCCTGGGACTGTGATGACTTTATCTTTGCCCAGCGTCAAATATTGAATGGCAGCTTTGTCATCAGATAGAATTAACAGTTAAAATGCTCAACCTTATCATGAAAAGTACATTAGTTAAAGCCCAAATCAATGACCTTACTGCGGCTGGGCATATTGTTTCTCACACTACAAATGGCTGGAATAAGGAAGTGTTGAACTGCCACTTTTTAGATGAGAGATTACACTGAGGCCCTACTTTCATACTTTGGTGAATTTAAAAGATCCTGCCATATTCCTTTAAAACAGAGCAGGGGCATTCTCCCTGGTGTCCTGGCCAATAATAATTATTCAGTCAACATCTTAGACGGATTATATGGTCATTTATCATATTTCTGTTTGTGGGATCTTACTGTGTGCAAATTGGCTGCTGTGTTTCCTACTTTAGAACAATAACTGGACCTCAAAGGTTACCTCATTGGTTTTAAAGCTCTTTGAGATGTTCTAAGGTAGTGAAAGGTGTTACATAAATGTAACTTCTTTCATTCTGCAGCTCAAGCAGCCTGGCAAAAAAAAAACTGGAGGGGAAATGGCCACATTTGAATAGCAGTCAAGGGCGGAATTCAAATTCACCCTCTTTCAGTTGAGCTACATAGAAACAGGCTTCTTTTCCAGTGATTTCCTGCCCATTGCTCAATCCAGCTCCTACATGACCCCGATGTGTATACCTCATTACCATCAATGTAGCACTCCCAAGCCCAGGATTGAGAGGTAAAACTATCAGGAAAGGCCAGGGCTCATTTCTCTAGAAAAGAGAAAGGTAGGGATTATTGAGGTTTTTAAAATTACAGAATGTTTTCATGGGTTTGATTTGCAAGATCACTGATTGTACATGGCCCTGGGGAGGCACCAGTAAATAGAAAGCAGTGTTCAATACTGTAGCAATTGGAACGAGGTTAGCTAGGTGGATCTTACAGAATATGAGTTCCCTGATTGGGATTGTTAATCTGGTCCAATCAGGTGTGTGTGTAGGGGTGTGTGTGTGCGTTTTGCGGGGGCACAGTCAGGCCCCAAACTCCTGCACGATCCTCTTCTGGGGTGAGTTCCATTTTAGACCATAAATACGAGGTAGTGTCTCATAAAACCAATCAGAAAATCAGGAAAAACCTCTTTACTGCAGAGACGAGGGCATTGTGGGAAATGTCCAACTTGTTCCCACATGGCATGGTTGCCAATTGGTAAAAATATGTTTACAGGAAAACTCCATAGACAGGAGGGAGGAAGGAATAGAAGGATATGGTGATGGGATCATATAAAGACAAGTGGAAGGAGGTTCACCTGGAGTGTAAATGCTGGCCCTGACAAGTGGGCTGAATGGCCTCTTGCTTTGTTGTATATTGAATAGAATTGTATATAAACGAAAGGCAGGAGACTGACTGGTTGTACCTGTACTCACCGGCAGTTCACACTGTCCTTTCTGGCAGAATTTCCTGATGAGCGCCCCGATGATAATCACAATTGTTTCTCGGATATCATTGCTCCTGATATTTCCATTAAGTTTATCCTGTGACAGACCAGGGACAAGGAAAACTCTTGGTGTGAAAGGCAGAGGTAGTTATCATAAAATAAAAACTAGGTGGAAGCAAACATGTAACAATCAATAGCACACCAGGATGGTTAAAATTATTATCATGGAACACAAGTTACAAGAGCAAGTCTCCTACTTGGAGGACAAACTAGTAATGTCGTATAGGGTCATGGTTCTGAAAGGGTTAATGTTCATGTCACATTGGCTTCACCCATTCTACTGCAGTGACACGCAGTCTGTGGGTGGAGGCAAGGGCTCTATTCTCGCTTTCAAATGGAGTAGATGTATCTGTATCAGCTGCTTAAGGTTCTGTGGGGCCAAATGTAGCTGTACTTATTACTATCATGCAATAAAACTTCTTGTAATCTAAGAACAGTGCCTATTCTGTGGATGCTCTACATTGTTGTATCCTCTAACGACAACCACTAGATAGACCCAAGACAAAACAAAAACACAGTGGGGTTGATGGCAGAGAACTATCTCAAACAACTACATGCTGGTAAAGGTGGCAAATGTCATAAAGTGCCAGCAGTGGTCTTCTGGGTAAATGCCACAAGTAAAACTTGGGAACAATGGCACTGGTCCAAACCGTGTATTCCATATTAATGTACGCTAGACCACTTCAACCAGTACTGTCAGTTCCAAGCTTCACCTACTGTATTCATTTAGTGAGTGCTGTTTACCAATCCAGGTTTTACTTTGCATTTGATATAAGAAACATGGTTGATCACCACAGGAGCCCCTCAGACTGACAAACATTATCACTCACAATGACCCCCTCCCAGGAATTACCTGAGTATCTCAAAGCCTTAGAACTTCCTTCGAAAAATATGTTTCTTCAATACTGAAATTGGGAAATGATATATAAGTAATTCTCTCCCTAACAGCGGCATGGCTATACCCACACCACACGGGCTGCAGCTATTCATCAAGGTGGCTCTACATCCCTTCTCAACTGGGGATGGGCAATAATGCCAATCCAACCAGTGACTCCCATGTCCCATGAATGACTGAAAGGTTTACCCACTTGGGCTTTCTCCCCTCATACCCTTTAATACCTCTTTGATGGAGAGATTATGGCTGCCCTGTGTCTGCATATCTCTAAATACCATGTATTGATCTTATCGAGTCTGTAAATTGGAAAGTGAGGGTTAAAGCTCTCCCTTCGCCAAGTCAGGTTGATCATTCATCCTCTTGGAATAGGCTGGGTCTGAGTAGTTGGCATTCCCACTCTACCCTAACTGGGTAAAGGCTCCATGTTTGGACTGTTGGTTACAATCATCCCTAATGACTCAGAGCCGGAGCTCCCAGTCCCTGATTGCTTCCTATTGTAAAGAGAACCATGTGTGACTGTACCTCAATGGCAGGACTCAAGTCATATTTATCAATCTCTGCCACTCTTTGATGGTCTTTTGATATTCTGGGGCTTGTTTTTCAAGCTTACTGAATCTACTGCTCATCTGAAAAGTCACAGGCATTGCTTTGTACTTGTTTCACAATGTCCGTTGGCAGCAATACAGACCCTCACATAATGTTGGCCTTACTGTCCCAATGCAGAATGACCCTTTGGATAATGCACAGAGCTACTATGTCTGAGGGAATTTATCCCACTAAGAATTACTGCATCAGGACAGGAAGAGGGCATAACTAAAAGAGGTACCCTTTTTAAAAATCATGCTGATGTGGCGATATCTCATTTCTCAGACGAAATACTCACCATTACCGCTTTCAATAATTCCTCAGTGGGGTGAGAAGCAAAGCCACAAGCATACAGAAACCTTTCCTGTAAGATGGTGCTACTGTCATTTCCGAAATCTAAGAACTCCAACATCGCTGCCAATGAAGCTGTGGTCTGAGCTGAGGTCACAGCATCAACTAGCTGTGGACTGTAATAGAAAGATTGAACAGCAACTGGATGAGTGCAATTGATCACAGATCTGAGGGGTGAACATCAACTTCCAAAGTTCCAACTTTACATTGAGTAGAGATAGTAGGAACTGCAGATGCTGGAGAATCCGAGACAACAAGGTGCAGGGCTGGATGAACACAGCAGGCCAAGCAGCATCATAGGAGCAGAGAGGCTGA